TAACCCAGGGTTAGTGTGAAATTTGATTTCAGATCTGAAAGCTTTAAAAGAAAATTCACCTTGATTCCATTTGTCTACAATTTGATGATTAAATGCCTTAAAATAAATTGGGAAAATTATCCCAAAACGGCTTTTTATCAGAGAAATATAGAAACCTGGATTAAGATTTAACCCCGGGTTAGTGCTAATCGGCCTTCGAACAACTGGGCTCTGGACTTTATTCTAAGGGCAATAAGTAGACCTGCAAATGAAGTTTTGCGACATTTGAGATTTTATCATACTTGTTTTGAAATGACAATTTCATTTTGGGATGTTTTTGGCAAAAGTCAAACCCAATTGACAGGTCTCAATCAACATCATTCTCCTACACTAAGTATATGAGACGAAAGGGTAACGACTGCTCTATTATGCCTGTAGGTTTTAGGTTGTTTGAATAAAAAGTCGCGTGTCGACACTTTCTCAAAGTTCAACCTTTTTGTCAGCTTTTTGCCCTGACCTATTAAAAATGGAAAAATTCCTCTGCCGAGAGTATTTTCAACGTCAATTGTCATTAAAGAGAAGGAAAAAGAAAAAAAAAAAAAAAAAAGAAAAGAAAAGCAGAAGGGGAACTCCGGTATCGAACCCCAGACTGTCACTGATTCTTGGTAACATGCGCGCGGCAGCAATGACAGGCAGGTCAAGAGTTCGATACCCGCCAGTGCGCGACTAAAGTCTTTTTTTTACTTCCTTTGTCTTTCTTTTACTTCCTTTCTCTTTTTTTTCCTCCTTTTTCATGGTTCTTAGCTTTCCAAGAATGTGTTTCTTCCTAATAAAAAAAAAATAAAAAAATAACCATCTCACTATTCTCTTCTAGAATAAAACAAACAAAATGGCGGAGTGCCCAATGCCATGGTATTTCTGCTTCTTTGGCCACAGCAAGAGCCTAAGCCAGCCCACGGCCACACGACATCAGGTTACGGCTCAATGCTCTAAGTAGTGGACCATTTAATTTGCAATGAAACCGTTTCGTTTGGCGAACAAAGGCAAAACAACATCGGACCATGTGCTCACCGGTCATTTGCATAATTTCGATATCATTTTGCGCGCACAGGTAGGCCTTCTATCGTATACAATCTTATTACAAGTGTAAAAGCAACCCGCTATTCCAATACCAAACAACTATCCCCCGACTCAATTTAACCTCTAACTCCCTTTGCCATGCTTATTTTCTGCATTGGACAAAGAGAGTTGCTTTTAGACTCTCCTCCGACCTGGCCCCAAACACCTGCCTCAAACAGGTATAATACCACTCCATTCTTTGAATGATACACAAGGCTTACGGACTTCCAGGCTTCATGATGCCCTTCCGTCACCAGGCGGCCCTAAATTCAACCGAAACAACATCACTCCACCGTTTATTGCTTTCAAGCCGCCTGCCATTGCTTCAACTTCACTTCGCTACACTTTAGCGCTCAAATTTTACGTAATGCCTTTACGCGTCATCACCTACATACGGGCTTAGACACAAATTTATTCGTATGATGAACGACCCTCGCAGTAGAGAGCGAAGAATAAACTGTAGGCCCCATCTCCTCCAGGGTTCGGGGTAGGAGACATTAATTTCCCATGCACAAGATTACTTTGTGCTGGATGTCCTCCCCTTTCATGGGATGGGTGGGTTGCTGACTTACGTTTCATACATGAGCCTCTGGCTCGGGCAATCTGGATAACCATGCCTCACATATACACAATTTACTTCATTGATTGATTGTGTAAAAGTTAATGGAATCCCAAAGGAAAGGGTTGCCAAATCTCCACCAAAATAGTGGGCTAACAAGGGGAAAGGAAGTGTGAGGGTGGCAAGTGTTAAAAGTGTGAAATGATGAAAATAAAATATTAGTTGTTCAATAGACAATTTGCACCGAGGGACCTACAAACTGCAAGGCAGTTATGTCAGTCATACGGCAGCATTAAAATAAAAACAATCAGTAGTTCAATTGGCTACTAGCATTGAAGGTCCACACTTTCATACTTTATTTTCTTTTCTTATCTATCTACCAGGTATTCCTTTGACCTGTAGATAGTGGGTCAAATTTTAGTTAACTTCATATAATTACACTGGAAATAAAATGAAAATGAAGAACTATATCATAAAAAGACAAAAAGATACACCAGAAAAAAAAAAAAGGAAAATGAAAGATTTTCATTGTAAAGGAATCTTTAGTCTCTAGAAAATTAGAAAGCCCTTCTTGCTTGTTTGTTTGTTTGTTGTTGTTTTTTTTAAGATTTCTTTGACAAATTTGTTTATTGATTTTTTTTATATTCTATTTGCAAGGCAGCCACTTCAAGGCAGTACAAAAATTTATAATAATAATAAGGAAGGTTTGAATGAAATAAGATGAGATAGTCATAATCAGAGGAAAAGGAACGAGGGAGAATAGTAACATGTTGGTTAGTATTCAAACTTGGTGGTAAAAGGAATAGAAGAGGTTAGGTACAGGGAGCCAAAAAAGTTTTTTGGATTTAAAAAAAAATTTGAATTGAATATTTTGATTGATAAGATGGGGGTTGGGAGTTAAGGATGGGTTGGTCTGAGTTGGTTTTGATTGACAATTGGTTTACTTGTATCTGTCTTGAATTTGAATGGTGATAATAACAGACACAAAAGTTAAATTCCAAAATAATTTAATGTTATGAAAACTTAACTAAGCTACTTTGACAACACAGTAAATAATGGAACTATTGCAAGATATTAATGAGAGAAAAATTCCCTCTCTCCAATATTACCTTAATTAAAATAGTGGAAGTTTACCTATGTAAAATTAACAGTAATTCGTTTTGTAATGATAGATATTTAACTTTCGTTAAAAAATAAACGGCTTCTTTTTTTTGTAATTTTTCCAATCCTAAACAGCCACTCTCCTAGATTTTACTCAAAACAAAACCACATGCATGATTTTGAGTCAACATAGTTCACAACGAAATCCATCTGTTATCGCCATACCTCAGTCTCCTCCGGTACTTTGTTAAAATTTTATTTCACCGGCGTCACACCACGAGCTCCCTGATTGATATCTCGCTTTCTTTCTTCCCTTTATGTCCAAAATTTCCATAAGGCTTACAGGAATTCAGTTTAATTAATTGGAATGTCGGGCGGAAAACGGCGATGAGCAGCGATTATCTTGCTTTTCGATCGTTTTACGATGATGTAAACAAACTGGAGTTTCTTCAGCCAAGTTCACAGCTCTTGCCAAACCAAGTGGCAGGGGCTTAGAATTGCCGTAAAAAGCTTCTTTACTACTCCTTGTTTTACCGACGAACCAACATTTTGCATGAACGGACGAAAAAGTGATCAGAAAAAGCCAACACAACACTGTAAACGTTACCGCAAATTGAGCCGGTTCGCAACCGTATTGAAACTTTGCACAAAAGACCGTTTTTCCGCGCGAGAACAATTTTTGTACAATTTATACACCCTCTCAAATTTTTAAAATTCTTTTCTTCTTTTCAAAAATGAGAATTAAAACCTTATCTTTTTTACGGCTTTCTTATTTTTTAAACTTCGTAACGGCTGTTCGTTTCCCCGCAAAATTTGTTGAATTTATATAAGAACGCGTCTGAGCCCGCGTTTCGTACCGCGGGTCTCTGGCGCACGCGCAAACGTTTTTCATCCTTGTAAGGCTTTGTTGGAAGACGCGTGAATTTCAAACCGAACTCTTTTCACAACGCGCATCACGTCTAGTAAAGACAATTGATCACAAGATAAACTCTAGCCAACGGAAAACATGCTGAGTCCACTTGAAGATCAGGAAAATCTGCCTGCTAGGGTAAACTCATACCCTTATGTTTCTTGTTGAAGTTGTTTTTAGGCTCGGTTGAATCGTGCTTGAGCATGTAATAGTCTGTACCACTATAGCTGTAAACGGAATTTGGATACGTCGATCATGAAGCTGTATAAAAGACCTTGTATACAGTGGTACTTCTTGATACACAGAAGATTAATCTACTATCTGTTTCATATGGTTTGTAAAGCAAAAGTCCTTGTAAGGAAATAACAAATCTGCAGCTCGTTCATTCGTAGTGATGTAAAGACGTAAAAGCTCTCTTTCGGCCTCTTTTTTTTTTTTGCGATCTCCTACGTTCCATTTCTCTATCAGGTCTATGTTTTCTGTTTTTATTCCTTCTTATAAAATGTTTTGTCTAACAAGGGTAGCTGTCTGTGTTAGCTAATGGTTGCTTGTAACTGACAGAGCATTCAACTGCACTAAACAGGCTGGGGTTCGAGTCTCAACAAGAGAATAAGAATTTTTGTACCATGTTTCTATGCTTGACATTTTCCACTTGTAGATTACAATTGCAATTTTTTTTATAAGAAAAGCACAACATTTAACCTGGATGATCATTGATTGACAGGTAGCGGCTTTGGTTACTCCTGCCAGACAACCACTAAAGAGTGTTGTGGACAGTCGAGTAAACCATGGTACCCCAACCAGACAGCAATGTTCAGATCTGTCGAAAAAGTTTCCTTTTAAACATAAACGGAAATCAAAGAGGCTCAGTGCCCCTGTACATAACTTGTATCAGTTGATACCTGCATTGGTGAAGTCAATAACATTAACAGCTTCTCCAGTTCAAGAGCAAAGTCTTGTAGAAGAGGAGATAAGGGTTTGTGATGTGTCATTTTCCAGTGGTAAAGGAAAAGAATCTTTGGTGGAGAAAGTCATCGGAGAAATCATGAAAGAAGTAAACAAGGTTTAAATCGGCCGCACATGGTCATAGCAACACTTATACAATGTAAAAGACCTTCTTGCCCAGCATTTTGAAATTGCAGCTTTTGCACAAGGTCACTTCAGTCTTTTAGTAACATAGCACTTGATATTATATTTCTAAAAAATAGGTGCAGGGTATTAAATTAGGTATTCTAGTCAGCCACTAGAAATAGAAGACATTTAAAAAAATATCCCTTCCACTAATCTGCCTTATCTTTTTTTTTTCTCTTCAAAGATTGTTGTCTTAATGTCTTAATATGATGTTACATGTGCTTCAATGTGAAAGATTTTTAGTATATTTTTGCAAGGCTCTGATTTGGCCTACAGAGGTTAAAATGGGAATTTTTATTTTATTTACAGTCTAAATAGAAAATTTTAGTTTTTTCAATGATAGATAAATGAATTATTCAGAAAAATCTTTGAACACCTGTATAAAGGTCCCCACAGAATTTGAATAATTAATAAATATTGTGGATGAATGTGAATCAATCTGAAGATTTTCCATAATGCATGACCATAAACAAACTGATTAATCTTTTCTTTTAACAGAAAGAATCAAAAGTGAAAGAGGAATCCATGCCATGGAAGATGGATTCAAATGAGCTAATTATTCTGCAGATGAATAAGGAAAGATTGAGACTTGAGAAACAATTGTCTCAATTGATGAAGGTAACCTTCTTGGAGACATCTTTTTCAAATCTGACTTTTTTCATCCAGGGTAAAATAGTTTTGCCACCAGTTTAAATGCTATTATTATTTTTTTAAATTATAAGTTGGGAATTTTGCCTATTTGAATGCCAGGTTTCAGAAAGTGCATTTTTCAATGGATTAGTTCAGAGATCAGCTATCAAAAAATATATTTGTAGTAAATGAAATTTATATAGTTATCAAATCACAATGATGACAAAGGATGAAATATCTGGGTTGAGCAGCAAATGAGTTGATGCTAATAAATCCATGCATCGGAATACTGCTGTTCAATGTAAATATTTGAAAATAAAGACCTGTTTCAAGACAAGATAATTTTTTTTTTGCTAAGTGGGTCTTCTTAAGTGAAGCAGGAGTACTGTTTAAAAATTGTGTGCTTGATATTCAAAATACATGTTTGTATAGGTAATCACATGATTTCGAGTGGAATTTGGAATAAATAAGCACGAGTAAATTTGTTCAAAGGCTAACAAAATTGCATGAGCCCGTAGGGCGAGTGCAATTTGTGTTCTTTGGAAAAATTTAGAAGTGCTTACTTATTCCAATTGCACGAGAAAATCATGTGATTATCTATTAATAATATATGAAAAAATACATGAAAATATACATGAAAAAATACGAGCTAGTTTCTCATAACTACTCAGAAGAGAAGCGCGTGCAACACGTGCAAAAATAATTTATTCAAACCCTGCAAGTGACATTGACCTTGACATCAACCTTGACATTGACCTACACTCTGACCAATCAGAATGTCTGGTTTGTTTCTTTCTTTGCACTGAATTAACCCTCTTCTGCCCTGAATTAACTCTCTTCTGTACTGAATTAACTCTCTTCTGTACTGAATTAACTCTCTTCTGCACTGAATTAACTGTAAACTGCATTCATCTTAACCAATCAGAACTGAGAAATTTTTTCATGTATATTATTAAGAGTAAAACAGAGTGATAAGATCAGATTTTCTTCTATGTTTAGTTAACAATATCCTGACATGTTTTAAAATAATTTTCAACTAGTACTGACTGTCTGGGTAAGGATATTGTTGTCTCTCATACAAATAATTTCAGTCCATCTATATCTCTTGCTAAAGTTTCCCCAACTGAGGGCTGAGCTTTGGCTAATAGCCCATGTATCACACCTGACTATCTTATGTCTGTGTGCAACGTGTAGTACTTTTAGGTTAAGAATCCAAAACTATTAAGAGCTTGGTAATCCAGCTTTCTGATGCATGAGCCTTCAGGCAGCTGGTGATTGACCTTTTAGAGCACTGTTTGATTAGATTTTTAATTGATATTGGTATATTTCAGGAACAGTCAAGAACAAAGATAACACCCAATGGTACTTCTAATTCTGATACAACAAACGCCAATGAATCGGAAAGAACAAGGAAAGCAGAGGAACTTTATCAATTGAAACAGCAATGTGATCAGTTACAAGAAATGTTGCTAGAAGTTCCCAGATTAAAAAAGGATTTACATAAAAGTAAACAGGAAACTAAGGGACTTAGTGAAATACTTTTTGCAAGTCGGAAAAAGACTGTCCAACTAGAAGATCATGTCAAGAAACTAAACAAACAAGTCAAAGACAATGAAAAGCTGAATGAAAACTGCACACAGCTTCAAAAGAGTTTAGAGAGTGTAACACAAGAAAGGGACCAAAATGCTGCTGAATTGAAGAGACTTGGGGAGGATTTAGAGCAGAAGGAAAATGAAATCCAAAGAAATAGAGATCACTGCATAACATTGAAAGCACTTGTAGATAGGCTAGAGGTAACGAATTTCAGATAATTTTTATCACCAGTGTTTGTTTTTGCTCAAGCAGTGTCAGGGGAAACTGGTTGTGCAATTGTTTCTCCTTGCAAATTATAAAGAAGAAGAACTTTGGAAGTCGACTTGACATGAAGATCATTGTATGTTAAAGTGCTGACTGAAAGTTTCCCTTTGCTAACTTACTATTGAGAAACTCTTTCTATTTAGCACTTAATCTCTCTTCCATTTCCTTGATGATAAACAGAGTTCTTTCAGTAACTTTGTTACTTTCACCCTTGCACAACTTGTCAGGCATGACACAGCAGATAAAGAAAAATTTTTTCAGCAGAGTATAGAAAGACCAAACCCAATGCAGTACTAGATTACTTTGGACATTCAGTTGAAAAATGCTCCAAAACAAATGTTGGTTTAATTCGTGTGAGGATATCATGTTGGCTTTTACTTTCATAGTATATTCAACAACCAGCAATGTTCTATTTGGTAATTGCATATTACCGGTAATTCTTTCCTGGTCTAGTATTCTTGCTCTCTGTTTCCCATTATGACATGGCTGTGCTCAAGGTTATTACTACTTACAAAGATGTTTTTTGATGAAAAAGTTATTTTCACGATAAGTCTGCTTAACTGAGCTCCTCTGTCTAATTATACATTAAAATTTTTTTCCAGAATGCTTCTTCAGATGCAGAGTGCTACGTGGCCTCCAGTAAGGAAAATGAAACAATACTGCAATATCAGGTGAACTATAAGTTTACAAGGTGTCCAGTACAGTGTTGCTAAATTATTTTCTGCTATTTGAGAGGTAGATTGATCTCAACTGATTGTGAGTTATGCCTTTTTCTCTCCCCATCATCAGATAGATGAGCTTAGTTTATCTTTAGAGTCAAACTTGCTTGCTTTAGAGGGGGGAAAGAAACTTTTTATGGAGAGAGAAGAGGAGCTGAAAAAATCAAGGTAATTAATTGATAAAAAATAATCTTTGTTTTGAAATTAGTGTTGTCAAAGTACTACCTTTAGAGCATAGTCCCATTAACTGGACAACAGAAAGTCAGCTCATGAAAAAGTGTTCAAGGGAACAGTAGAATAGAAGGGAAAAGATGACAACAAAATTGGTCCAGCTCCAAGTATCACATGAAATAGTTTATCACACATTTTACCTTATGAAATTTTGAACACTTAGATATTTAACTAACAATTGTTTTGTAGGTAAAAAAAATGGAAAAAGCACAAAATTGTTTTTTTTTTTAATAATTTAGAGAAAGTGAAAAAGAACTAAGATACCAGTATGAGAAGCAAAGTGGACAACTTGATCATTTGACAGCAGAACTTGACATCGCCAAAATGGAAATCTCAAGGCAGGAAGATGTTATAATGAGACAACACAGGGAGATGGAAGATCTTAAAGTGAAACTTGCAAATTCCCTCGAGCAAATAGAGGTACTTTGTAAATCAACGGAACTTACTTTCAAGTCAAGTATTTCTTTTAAGACTGTTGCCTGTGAATGCTTGTTTCCTCCAAAACAGTGTGTATTAACCTGACAGTTTCCTAGTTCACATTTCAATTCTTTAAAAGTTGTTTTCGGTGAGAATAGTTCCTATGCATTCTAACGCTTGAATACGTACTTACAGAAATGCAATAGATGCTGGATTTTTAGACTGTCATTGTAACTTGTTTTTGGCTGATAAAGTTATTTTAAGTACTTTTGTTTCTGTTTCCTCGACATTTTTTCTTATTGTTTTTGTCATTGTCAGTACATACAAATGCAGCAACAAGAGATGAATGAATTTACGGAAGAGGAACGAAGAAATCTAGAAGTTACAGTGTGTGAAATGGAAAACGAGGTAACTAGTTAGAGCAAATCACTGAACATAAACAATAGAAAACCATTACCTACATCCGAAATGAGAGCATTTTTCCACCTATTCTAACATCTGAGCTGGTACTCTGTAGAAAAGTACTGTCCTTCTTTGGTTTGTAGTTGAAGCTGACCAAACAAGAAAGAACGGAAATGGATGCGTCGTTGAGGCGAAAGTCCCAGAAGTATGATGAACTTGTCCAGGAGGTGAAACACTCTAGGTAACGACTCCAATCACGTGACTGTATTGTAAGAATAGAATACGTGCTTGCCCTATATTTCCCGTGTACTTTTTTTGTAAACTAAGTCATGTTGCCTCGTTGGTTCTTGAACAGGCCTTCATAGGCAAAGAGTATCTTACACAGCTACACCACAACTACCCAATCTGCTTCTCTACGTTCTAGGTATCTGTTGCAAGATAAGCAGGAGGAATTGGACGCCACACAGTCCCAGGCTCACTGGATTGTCCTAAAGCAAGAAGCAGTGATAGCAGACACCACGAAAGAGCTGCGCGAAATCTGGGATCTTGTTAATGATCTGCTCGTGGAATTCAACAAAGAAGCTTTCGCGGAACAGGTGAATTCGAATTAATCTTGTCAACTTAGGTATCAGTCGCCACTATTCTCTAATTGATCGAATTTTTTTGGATAGATTGTTTAGCTCTTTATTTCCTCTTTTTAGGTCCACGATGACGAGAAGGCAAAACGGCCTAAATAGCTTAAGTCATGTACCCCAGAAAATGACCCAAGCAAGAAGTATGCAGTGCCCTTGAATAAGTCTCTTGTTCAGTCTATTTTAGAAGCAACGGCAATGAGGGATAGAAAACTGGAATTTAAAACGGTAAAAAATTCTGTGCTTAAAATAGTTTGAAATTTTATGCACTCTTCTCTCTGGAGGCCGTAATACTTTGCCTGATTGTGTTCCTATTCATTATGTATACTCATGAATATCGAAGATTTTTTTTATTTTTGAAGGCAAGTTTGTGGCGATTATACTAATATTAGGGTTCTTTGATTTACTTTTCAGCCAGAAAAACGTTGCCACAAGTTAAGCCCCATTCCTGAAGTAATCGAGGAAGATCAAGACTGTTATCAAACTTCTGAAGACGAGGAGAAACTACCCTCACTCACTACGCAAGCAGTGGAACTTAAACAAGCCTTAACAGAATTGACAAAGAAATGTAGAAATCACATCTTCACGGTTCAGGCACAGAACACTGTTGATAGATTGTTAAAAGAGAGGTACGTCATGCGTAAATCGTTTCTGAACACTTTTTATTTTTTCTTAAGTAACTGAGAAATAAATTTAAAGTTATAGAATTTTGTAGTTCACGGATTAAACTAATTAAAAGCTTTTACCCCTCTACTTTACCCAGAATTGTGTTGGAGGAGCGACACAGGTCTTCTCTTGACGAAGTTATGTTGCAGCTTGAGGAGTCAAGAAAATCCGAAACAAATCTGGGTCGAGAAATCTCAAGAAAGAACAACCAGATAACTACACTGCAACAACAACTCGAGGACAGCAGGATTGATTTACACCATTCGTTTCAAAAGATTGAATCGCTCAGTGAGCAGTATGAAAAGACCATAGATCAACAGGCTACAGTAACGGTAAACTTTGCCTCCTGTTATTAGCATCTTTCCCTTGGTTTCCCGTTTTCTCTTTCGGTCGAAGTTTAATCGTAGAAATTTGAAATAAAACAAGAATCAGATTGAAAAACAGGACACCTCTCCTATCATGTGCAAACTGCCTAGCACTGATCGCTTTTTTCTGTTTCCTCCCACCCCAGTTAGTAGCCTGTGAATAGGCCCTCGTAATAGGCCCTCATAATAATATAATAGTAGCCTGTGGATAGGCCCTCATAATAAGCGCCGCGGCACGAGCGTTTCTTTGCGTGCAAGTAACTTTAAGACCTCTTAAGCAAAGAGCATACCTGAGGTATGCAAGGGATCTGGCAATGCCGGACCTCTTGCAGATCTCTGCCGGATAGCGTTGTTCAAAATTTGTTGTGGGCGAAGAAACTCTGGTACTGAAGCGCTTTAGCTTGTCGAATAACTTCGTATTTTTTTAAAGGCGATAGGAAATAAGGAAGTCCGGAGCCTACCAAATGAAAATTTTTTGCAACACAAGAAGTCCAATATGTAACTTTCTTCAACCCTTATCTTCGGGTGTAAGCAAAGTTGAAGTGTCATTTGTTCCAAAGTTTAACCAAGTTGATATGGAAAATCATGATTACTGTTGTTTTGTAATTTCACTTGTGTCGTGATGCATTTTTCAGGGGCTGACCAATGATGTACTACGTTTCTCCGAGCAAGTGAAAACGCTCCAAAAAGAGAAAGACAGCTTGTCGCAACAACTGAAAGAAAGCCTTGATACATTGAACCAACTGTCACAAATTTCATCGAAAGAACACGACCTGAACAAAACCCAAGACGTCCTTGGGAAGCTATTAGCGGAAAAATTCAACTTAGAGGATCAGGTACTGCATTAATTAGTGAATGGTGAAACACCACAGCGTACTCTATTGAATTATGGATGCACGCGGGAGCTTGTAAAGCACGAAAGAAGTGTAAGACTGCGCGAGGCGGTAGCCGAGAGCGACTCTTGCTTCTTGAGTCTTCTCACCCGCTTCTTTCGTGCCTAGCAAACTCCTGTGTGCATCCATAATTCAATAGTGTACGCTGTGATGTTTAATATTTGTTGTTGTTTTTTAACTGATGCATTGTAGCAAATGAGTTCCCTTTTGCTCAAAACTGAAATCTTACCTGACCAGAAAAATTAGGGTGCAAAAACTAGCATTTGCATTTCTCCACGTAAGCAGCGTACACCCATGGGCAAATGGTGGGACACTGAATTGACCAATCAGAGTCAATCAATCTTTCTAGTAATTATCTAGTCAGTAATTGAACATTATCTATTTAGTAAAAAGCCTTTTTATTGCAAAAATAGCTTTGTCGTGTTATTTTAGGATTTACTTTGTAAATAAGTTTTTAAGGTTTGTTTTCTCGGCTTATTAGCATACTTTCCTTGCTAGGGGTCTAACCGACCCCATCAACCTGAGATTAAATAAAGTTTCATTCATTCATTCATTCATTCATTCATTAGAGCGCGCTTTACTTTGGATATGTTATAAATATGTGTTGGTAATAGATCCAATATGTTAGGTCATTTCACTATGACTCTAATCGACGCAATTTTACCGCCTGTTCTTGAATTACTTAGGCCCAGTTCAGACGTCGTACTTCTGCCGTGCCGAACTTAATAGTCCTTTTTACAGTTGTGGGCTTGGTGGCCAAGCCTTTGAACAGGAGTGAGGCTAAGGGTGACCCTGTTGTGTTAGAGACCTGTATCTAGTCAGCATGATAACAAAGAAATTTGCATTTGAAAAGCAGCAACATCTCCATCATAACAAGGTCACCCTGAGCCTCACTCCTGTTCAAAGGCTTGGCCACCAAGCCCACAATTGTAAAAAGGACTTTTGCAGTTAGGCTTGACTGAAGCACAGTAGAAACACTACCCGGATTCAGACATCGTGCAAGCATCGTATGAAATTCAGGCTTTACTGAAGCAAAGTGACAATTCACTCTCGTAACTTCCCGCAAGAACGCAATCCCGCTAAAATACAGCATAATTTATGAGTTTCGTTTGTCTCGCCGGAGGAACTACGTTGGAATCGCTGTCGTGCCAGAGTCGTGTAGCACGGAAAAGCTTGTCGAACTTAATTGCTTGCCGAACTTAAGCAAAAAGTTTCATTTTGTCTCTGCCGTCCTTTTGTCGAACTTAATTTCTAAAATATTGAATTCGATATGGTCGGAGCAGGATGTCTGAACTGTGCCTAAGATTAAACTCATCCGTCCTTTTTCTCCTTGCAGCAAAAAAAAAAAAAATGAAATAAAATAAATTGATATGATACTTATAAGGTTTCTAAGAACAGGGATCAACTTTTTTTGTTCCCTTATGCTGTTAAAACTTACCTTTTTCAAAAACTCATTTCTTTTAAAACCTTTCTTTACAAAACTTCGTTAACAGTCAAAGTGGGCGTCCGCGTCCTTTCCCGCCAAAATGACGCTGGTTTACTTTTTTGTGTTTGTATTGTGGTATGTCTGAAGGTCTGTCGGTTTGTGTGCCAAACTGGGTAACTTTTTTTGATCCAAAGTTATGTGTTGAAAGCCATGAATATTCCTATCAAAATAGATACCCAGGACAGAGATGTGCCTATCTAAGAACTACACTGTTTTTCCACAGGTTCGAAAGCTGAAAGAGAAATCCGTGATATATCGACTGGAAACGCAGGATCATATGACTGAATACAAATGTAGAACAGATTCGAAGGTGAATATCTTCCCCACCCCACCCCCTACGATTCTCTTTTTTATCCCACACTCCACATACCCCTCCTCTCATCTTTTCCCTTCTACATTTCTCATTCCCAGTGTTTTTCCTTCAGATTCGAGTCCTTGAGAGTAATATCCAGAGAGCCGAGACTGAAATGTTTCGATTGGATGGCCTGGTACAGAAGATTAAACTCGTAAGTATTACAAGGGATGGAGGGTAATCTATCACTGCGTTATTTTCTTTAACTAAGAATTATTAACTTCAGTGGCATAATTTCTTTCTCTACAGGTCCTACATCAGTATGATGATGTAATAAAAATTTGCCCGGATCTGAACAAGTTGCTTTCTTTTCTAGATGGTGAAGATATTCATTAAGGCACTCACATGCACTTTACGTCCACAGTTGTCTCTGTTAATTCTTATTTTTTTAGTGCCGATTAAAAGAGTTTACACATATAGACTGGAGATTGCTAGCTGGGTTTTTTTCATCTATAGTTCCGTGTTCGTGCGATCCGTTCTGATTGACAGTTCCTTCTGATATTGGACCTTTTCTGACTGATTTTTGAAACAAAAACTTAATCGATGTTACATACGACGAAACACCAGCCACAAGAAATATTTTAATTACCTATTTTTAATTTTTTTTCTTTTCCCGGGTCAAACTTATTCTTATCTATGAACCTGACACGTTTTACTGACAAGGACACGAAAGCGGGTAGATACAATGACTTCTCTCTCTGTGAGGAAACTTCTCGATTAAAAAATGGCTAAATGAAACTAATAATAAAACGACGACGAACACCGACTCAGCGATCCACAATAAACAAAGCCCTACTTCAACTCTTCTGGATGTGAAATAAGGGCCGGGACGAAATAGCGTGTTTTTTTTCTTATTCTGCCGTGAACTTCTTCATTAGTGTCCTTGGGGTCATGAAGATTGTACGTAAGTCCTGATGGGCCAAAGAGGGAAAATTCGCACTTAACTTGTGTCTTACCTAAAAATTCACTGAAAAAGGAGAGTTTTTCGTTTCGCAACGTTATCGATATTCACTAGTTTGTTGCTAATTCTAAATAAGGTGACCTTTCTTTTCGAGCCTTATTTTATACCATTTTTTCCCCAAAGAACCGTTTTTTGGGGGGGATCAAGTGACTTCGTAATTGAAAGACCTCTTGGTAATCTAATAAATACTGTCATCACAAGATTTGAGCTCCCAGATACATGGAAGCACTGTCAAATCACACCCTTTCACAAGAAAGACTGTTTTGAACAAAGCGAATTATAGACCGGTCACAGTACTGCCGGTTTTTGGCATGGTGTTTGAACGTATCGCACATATGCAAATGTCGGATCATTTTGAGCCAATATTTCATAACTATACGTTTGCATATCGTAAATTTCATAGCTTAATGAGCTGTGGGCCGCCCGGAACCTAGACACTTGAATCTAGACGGCCCCCAGCTCAAACAATCATCGCTGAAATCAAAGCCCGAATTCGCTCTCGCATCCTAGCCTGCGTTGCAGCCGGACGTGTCACACAATCCCTGGTGTATACCGCCGGTTTAGACTGTCTGCGACGCAGGCTATCGCATCCACGCCGCTTTCAATTTTGCTCTGCGAGCGATTCTCACTACTTTGTGGACTTACTGGAGCGTACTGTGTACATACCAAAACCACACCCTTACACTCAAAATTTAATCCCCTCGTCCTGATGGGGTTTTCTTATTGAAGTACTCCACAGGGAACCCAGCCCCGTGGCAAACTTTGATAAATCTTGTCTACCTGTGATTTGTAATCACTCCCGCTAGCCTTACAGCACAGCGGTTTTTCGCTTTTACAACTAAATTGTAAATAAAATTTGATCTGACAAAAAAAAGGTAGTATTTATAACTGCAGACTTAGCGGTTATAAGTTAATGACGGGAAGATCATTTCATTGTTACTCTGAGTTTCACGCAGCTTGCGCTGCGATCGTGAGACGGTTTTTATTATAGATGGAAAACATACCGTGCTATAAAGTCAATTTATAAATAGAAATTATAGTTAAAATAATAGGAAGCAATGAAGAGGACAAATGCTGTTGTTATTGGTTTCTCATATCCAACGCGCGTTCGTGGAATAATTGTTAAATATACACACTAAAGGGCATTCGTTTTCGTTTCTGCAGTTGCACAATCTTTGGGGGCGGCTTTCTTCGGACATTTTTTTGTTCCTGATTGAGGAGGGGAATGTTTGCAGAGCGAGGTTGTCTACCAAGCCACAGTCGCTACAAGGGAAGAAACTGAAACGTACGTTGGCCTCACAGCGACAGAGTTTAAGACTAGATGGCGCAACCACCGAATGTCGTTCAACCACGAGAGACGGCGAAATGACACAGCTGAGCAAGTACCTGTGTAAACTCAAGGAGAAGAGGGAAGACTATTCGATTCCATGGAAAATTATTGCTAGGGCTAGAGCATATTCAAGTGAAATAATAATATAATATAGACATGGGCGAAAATATATTCTCAAGTATTCTTAACGGTATTATCGGCGCGCGCACGGTTTTCATTGTTTCGAAGATTTGAATTTTTTAAACAATGTCATGTGATCACGTTGCTGAGTTGGAGTTAACCGTCACGATGCCTCAGTGTGTATGGAGTTTGACTGATCATGAAGAGTGCATCAACTTTTGTTGGTCTACGGAACGGGCTGTATTAAAATCCATATGTGCGTTACTTGAGTAGTCCATTTGCTACCATATATATATTTAATAATCGTTTTAGTATAATTTCAGAGCTCAACAACAGAGAAATCTCTAAAATCATAACATTTTAGTAACATTTATTAACATTTTAGTTGAACATTTTATATATAGCGTCATATAAGGAACCGCTCGACCAATCAGATTGCTGGAAACTCTTTGCTCAGCTCTGAAATTATACTAAATATATATTTAACAATTATTCCACGAGCGTGCGTTGGATATGAGATGATAGATAGCCAACGAGGCGCGTTGCGCCGAGTTGGCTATAATAATCTCATATCCAACAAGCGCGAGTGGAATAATTGTTTTATTAAAAACGCCCCCAAGAAATTAATTTTTTTGTAAGAAGAAACCGGATTTTTTTAGCTCCCTTTTGATTTTAAGCTGACGCGTACGCTTACCATATTTGTAGATTGTGGTATATTGGCTCCTATACTATAATGGCTAAGGCAATAAAAGGTCTTGAATTGCATTATCCAATGATCCAGTTTTTAATAAAAAAATATATATATATATATATTGTGGGAGGAAAAAGACAAGTAAACTACAAGTTCATCCCTACAAGCCTGTTTCGTGGTCGCCCACTCATCAGGGGATTTAATGAGAATAAACTTTACCATTGCTTATATACAATATAATTTGCATGATCTAACTAGTCTAATTTATGCAGCGCGAAATTGACAGTTTAGTTGTTGCGTAGGAGGGCTTTGCTTCTGTGGCGGCATGAAGACACGAGTTCATTACGTTTGTTTAGTGTTGATAGTTCGGGCCGGCAGATGATTAGGAATTTTTCTTTGAGGCAGAGGTTACATCTTTTAGTTGAGCTGTTATACGGTGAGTGCGATGAGAGAATGCGCCAGGAAATAAAGTGATCGATGTTGTTGTCTTTGAGGGTCCAGATGTGCTTGCTGAGTTCGGTAGAGTTTCTGTGTTTAGCGTGGCGGAATGATGCGGTGTGGTTTCTGTATCTTGTTTTGAAGTCATTCTCTGTGAGTCCGATGTACGTTTCTGTCGTGTTGTTGTCTTTGCGTGTAACGGAGGCTTGGTAGATTACTGATGGTTGCAGGCAGTTTCCGTCGAGCGGGCATGTGTTCTTTTGTCGGCAGTTGCATGTCTTGTTGTTATCAATGGTAGTGGCGGTGGCGG